AGCCAAACGTCTCCGCTGCTTGTAATATACTTGTGCTTAGTGACGTGCCGCGTGTATTTTTGTATTTATAGTTATATTTTTTTCTTATTACCGTAGCAAACCCATCCTGGTCGTTATTTGTTCTCTGCGAGGGCAACGTCTCTATAGGTAGGTTTGTGTATGTTTCGTTTGTTATTACTTTGAGTTAGCTGTTCGTTCGTTAACGCAGTATATGTCAAAGCAGCCGATATTCGTGAAAGGTCGGTTCACGTGTTCAGTACGTGACGGTGAACTCTTCCCCAAGGGCTACGTGGTCGTGTTCAGTACGTGACTTCACCAGCTCGGTCCTTGCCCGAGCTGGTGAAGTAGGGTGGGGGGGAGTTCTGCTGGCAGTACGGGATTCTTATTCGATTAAAGTTGTTACTAACATTGATGGTCTTACACCTGACATGGAATTAATTTGTGTAATCCTAAAATGGAAAAATGTAAAATTGCTGTGTTGTGTAGTTTATTTACCCCCTAGTTATAAAGATGACCAATATTTAAATGTTTTGACATGTTTAGAGAATGTTATCTGTTCATATCCTAATTTAAATGTTATAATTATAGGTGATTTTAATTTAAATTCATGTAGTAATAATGTTAAAATTCAATTTGACAACTTTTGTGCATTTTGCCATCTGGATGAAAATAACCATATAGTGAATAGCCGGGGTAGTATGTTGGATCTCGTGTTGAGCGATCTTGTGCCTGGTCGGGTGGCAGTTTCTTTAAACATTGACTCCTTGGTGCCGTTAGACGAATATCATCCTGCTCTCGATATTAAAGTAGCATTGGAGAGCGGTACGGTACCACCAGCGCAAAGTAAGCGTACTTCTTCCATGCGAAGAAGCCTTCGTCCAGAATGGAACTGGCGTAGAGCTAACTTTGAGGCGTTATATTCTGCTCTGGCCACAATAGATTGGTCCGACGTGTTGAGAAATGAAGATGTTGTTTCTAGGGTGCAAGTATTTTACCAGACTCTGTATGATTGTATAAATTTATATGTTCCCCTGAAAAGCGATTCATCCTATAGCAATAGGTATAATTATCCCAGGTGGTTTACTAGCGAGATCATTTATAACTTAAAACAGAAATATATACACTTAAAGAGATATAAACAAGACCGTAAAGAGTTTAATTTTGAATTATTTAGATATTATAGATGGCACACAAAAAATCTGATTGACAATGAACATCAGCTTTATGTACAAAATATCCAAAACAATATCATTGACGAACCTGCAAGATTCTGGGAGTACATTAAAGACAAGAGGATGGACAGACGATATGTGGATTCTTATGTATATAATGATGAGACAGTAACCGGTTACGAGGCTGCGGAGGCTTTTGCACAATATTTCGGTTCTGTGTTCTTGGACGAGGTGCCCCGCTTGAATCCCGCTGATGCTGCTGAGGAGAGTTACACAATTAAGGATGCTGGGCTCATTTCAGTGACAACCATAACTGAAGTTGATCTTAATGCAGCTATTAGGCGTCTTAAGGCTCGATCATCCAGTGGACCTGATGGCATTCCGATTTTTTTGGTCAAGGATTGCATATCCACTCTTAAGGCTCCGCTTTTGCACCTGTTCAACACGTCATTAGTTCAGGCTAAGTACCCGGATTTCCTTCCAGCAGCTTTCTCGTGTTACACCGATTCCGAAGGGAGACCCTGGGCCCGATGTCACCACATATAGGCCGATTGCCGTGCTGTCTGTTTTTGCAAAGTTATTTGAAACGATCCTTAATGGATGTATTAGTCAACAGATAAGTAGCCGGTTGCATGATAGTCAGCACGGCTTTCGCAAGGCGCGCTCGACTACAACGAATCTGGTGACTTTGGTGGACTATGTTTCTAAAGAAATGGACTCTAGTAGACAAGTAGACGCAGCCTACTTTGATTTTAAAAAAGCCTTTGACCTCGTTGATAACGACATTTTGCTGCGAAAGTTATCAGGGATCGGTTTTACACCTCGACTTTTGCAGTTCTTCGCAAACTACCTCAGCGACCGATGTCAGTTTGTACGATTGGATAGACATGAATCTGAGGTTTACTACACCCGTTCCGGTGTAAGCCAGGGGAGTACTTTGGGTCCGACTCTGTTTCTCGCCATGGTGAATGATCTGCCGGATGCTGTTAAGTCTGCTGAGTGTCTTTTATTCGCTGACGACCTCAAACTCTATTTGGGTATAGGTGATAAATCAGATATAGATACTTTGCAGAGTGACATTGATGCCGTGGCCGCATGGAGCGAAAGTAATCGTCTGTCTTTCAATCCTGCAAAATGTAAAACTATTACTTTCTCAAGAAAGCGTAATGTTTTGCATTCAGACTATAAATTATTTGACACTCCTTTGGAACGAATCAATGAAATAAAAGATTTAGGAATAACTATAGATAAAAAAATGGACTTCCACAAACACGTGGCAAATATATGTAAATCGGCGAGCCGACTCTTAGGGTTTATTCTGAGGACAGGCTCAGAATTTAGCAATTTTGCTGTGGCCAGAGCACTATATAACGCGTATGTGCGAAGTAAGCTCGAATACGGAGCGGTTCTATGGGACCCACATGAGAAAAAATATAGCCTCATGGTGGAGAAGTTGCAGAGGAAGTTCGCTCGGTGGTTATACAAAAAGTGTAATGGATATTATCCGTATCTCTATCCCTCATCGTTCGTGTACGGTATGGTCGGGCTGGATACTCTCGCTCTTAGGAGAAAGGTCATTCTCGTCATCCACTATCTTTCTGTGCTTTACGGCAAAGTGGATGACCCTGGCGTGCTGGAGCGGGTGTGTTTGTTGGTGCCCTCGCGCGTCCCACACGACGTCGGCGGGTTGGTGGCGCCGCGCCGGCGCCCGCGCCTTATCCACCGGCCAGTCACGCGCACCGTACACGCCGCGCACGCACCTACTACGCACGCAATCCGACTGATCGGGGACATGCTCGCTCAATGTGATAATATGGACTTGTTCGCTGATGGTTTAACAAAACTAGTGGCGGCTGCACATGAGTTTCTCGAGAAGATAACTCATTGACTAATTCTGAATTTGACAATTTATTTATTAAATTGGTATGACATTATTTATTAATTAGATTAGATTATATTTGACATTAATTGTACTTAGTTGACATTAATCTCTTTAATTTCTTGGAATGATATGACATTATTAATTGTTTATTAATTTGACATGATTATTTATATTACTATTTTTTGTTTTTCTTTTCTTTTTTTCTTAATTTTGTTGATTTGGAATGTATGTTAATGTTTTTATGTATGACTTGCCGGCGTTTTGGATATTTCTGTAAGCCAGCATGTGTTACTGAATAAATAAATAAATAAATAAATCATAACTTTAAAAAACAAACTACCTACTTCCAGGATTTTCAAAATTCCTCCCTTTTTTCCAAAATGTTTACTAGCTTTACTGTTTTATAATATAAAGTATGCATTTAGAGTAACGTTTTGCAAAGCTAAGCTGTGTTGCCTTGCCAGTCTGTGATGAGTATGGCCTACATTTATAAGGCTTTTATTGAAATAAATAGGGATTTTAAGTCTGGTGGCATGGCATTGCATTTAAAGGGGCCTCACGAGGCCCCACACCTAGCTACGCAACTGGTACTTGGTTAAAGTGGGTTCTTCTTGGTGGTCAAACTTTCTATTCAGACTTGTTTGTCTGAACTGCAAAGAAAATGACCAGATACTAAATTCATTAAATAAAAAATTTTCTTGGCATTTTAACATGTAGTTAGATTGGCCATTTCCAACAAGAAAAAATATAACTACTTGTGCCACCTAGTTGAGTACCTACTTTAACTACAAGGAAAAATTTTCCTGTTTCATGAGCTAGATTGACCACCAGAAAGAACCCTTTAGAGTTAGTATTAGCAGATCTTTTGGAATATTCTTTTGGTGTAATAAAGCTTTTTCCATGTATGTCAATTCAACACAATTTTAATTGAAATATTTTCCTCTCAAATCTTGAAACTGTGACTGTACATTTCATCAGTCACTATGCATAGATCTTAATAGCATAGCTATTTACCGTTCATGTAATATGTGTTAGAAATTTACAGTCTCTTGACTGTAAATTTCAAGACTTTATGAAATTAAAAGGTACTATCCTCCTTGGAAATCGTTGTTCTATTGTATATTTGTGATTGATTGATGAACAGAATGATTAAGCACATGGTCAGCTAGACAAGTGGAAATGGATAAAAGTGTTGCAAGTTTTCAACCTCATACCATATTCAAATAAACTTCAATGACAGATAATACTATCTGCTAGATCAGCTGTCTTTTTATCTTTTAAGCTAAAATATTTGAATAAAAAATATTTCTACAATAAATTGTTGTCTAATGGCTGCACTATGAGACAATAATAAATTAAAAATTTGATGCTGTCACTTTGGCAATAGCAATAGAATGAGACAACAGATCACTTCGACAAACCTTTACTAACCACCACTTAGACTTTATATTCATAAAACAAATTATTTTTTAATTAATCACTCTGAATGGCAAGCAACACATCTGAAGATTTAATTATAGCGGAAGTATAAAGCAATTCAAAAACAGCTTTTAGACAATAATTTAGTCCAAGTCTAAACTAACAACTGCATTACACTACATTTCAATGCTCGTTGAAAAAAGATGTGTGTCTTCTTCGAAATAAAATCATCAATAGTGATCATTCTATCTTAAAGAAGTGACTGCTTCAACTTAACCAACTATAAAATTAATTAATGTATCTGTAATATAGCCAGTGAGTTAGTGAATAAATCAGTTTATAAAACATAAATGTATTGAAAGGTAGAAATAAAGGCAAAATAACAATAAATTATAAATAGAAGAAAATTAATAATTTAGTCGATTTTATTAAAATACTGCAAAATTATGAAACAGTTATATAAAATTTGAGGACAAACACAAAAAGGTAACAGGAATAAACATTTAATAACGTGAATAAAAACTCACCGTCAGAGATATTTTTAGTAGAAAAATAATCCTCCCCTTCTAATTTATTAGCTAAGTTTTTGATCAGCGTCGCCTGTTTTTGTAGGATTAAATTTAAAATTTCACATAAATTTGGTAATCTTCTTTTGGGCTTATTTTATAACTGTGTTAGGCACCTACATAGATACATAAAAAATATTATTCCTCAAATATTTCACGGAACCAATTTACTCTCTGGCTATGAAATCATTTACTTTTGACAACAAACTATTTGATTGACAGACAGTTACAACAAACATGAACGAACGAAAACGAAAAACCAAACGAACAATCAGTGTTGCCAGGTCAAATTTTAATAAATCGGGAGACGCTTGTGAAAAATAACAGTAGATGTATTTGACGACCTCCGTGAACGAGTGTTTTGTACGCCGGGTTTCATGGTGTCGCCGACTCGAGAGGTCCCGGGTTCAAATCCCGGTGGGTGCAGATGTTTGTGTGATGAATACGAGCATTTGTACTCCAGTCATAGATGTTTAATATGTATTTCTATATAAATATACTTATATATGTACAGTATATGTATTCTATCCGTTACCCTAGTATCCCATAACACAAGCCTTATAGTGCTTACTTTGGGGATAGGCTAATTGGTGTGTGTTGGAAACATTTACAAAACGCCACCACACGTCACTCGCACGATTCCCCACCCCTCTCGCCCTTACCTTAGTCGGTCGCTGTCGCGCGCTTCAGCCACTTTAGTAGCCGCTTCTAGCTTCTCGTCGCGGCGTTTGTGGCTGTGGCCCGTGTGCGGCGACACTAATGGCGGAACTGGAAAAGCACAGCATAAGTGGTGGTTTTCCAATTACAGACAATAATGCGACTCAGTGGCGCACAATGCCGAATTATGCTGATGCTTAATTGGAACGTGAATTAGTTTTCAAATTATTATATTAATTATTATATTTATATTTATTTTTTTAACACAGTTTGAATTAATTTTGATTATTTAAAAAATAAAAAAATGTGTACGTTTACTAGTGTACACACGTAAGAAGTGAAACTTCTTTATGGCCTTATTTTTCGAAAAATGATCTACATGCATCTTTCCAGAAATTGGTTAAATAAAGTTAAATTAGATAAAGTTTAAACAAAAGGATTTTATTATCATAGACATGAATACAAATTACTGCCTATGAAACTGTTATGATTACACGGCTCAGTAATCTAAGGCACATGTTCCACCTCCGACGATGAACGATAAGCGAGTAGACACTAGAAACGAATTGGCAGTCCTGAGTTAAAATGCACGCGCACGGCTTTTGACAGCCAAGCCAGCTTAACCGAGCGAGTATAGCTGAGCGAGTATCGCTGAGCGAGTATCGCTGAACGAGTATCGCTGAGCGAGTACCGCTGAGCGAGTATCGCTGAGCGAGTATCGCTGAGCGAGTATCGCTGAACGAGTATCGCTGAGCGAGTACCGCTGAGCGAGTATCGCTGAGCGAGTATCGCTATGCGAGTTTGGCTGAGCGAGTCTTATCTTTAATAACTATTGTCACTCAGCTACAAACGAGTAGAGAGAGTTCTCGCCGGCGACAGTGTGATCATTCAGCTATCAACTATTAATATAAAAAAAGATGGCGCGTAACGGAAAAATGTGACGCGTAACCGAAAAATGTGACGGTAAATTTTTTTCCAACGCCGATAAAGAAGTTTCACTTCAAAACTGTAATGAAACGAAAGTTTTAATAAATTTTCAACAATAAATATTATTACTAACGATAACATATAAATAAAACATTTCGATTAATGCCAACGTAAAGAAAAAATACTTGTTAATTTTCTGTCTCTGAGTTTGTTACGATTGCACGCATCACACGAAAGCATTACTTTTGAGAGTGCTCGATTGATCGAAGCGTTGCTGTAGTTGAAACACTCAACGTTAAGCATTATGCCGCATAATGCGCTATAATGCTGTAATTGGAAAGCTACCAGTGACTTCAGTGACGCATTTTACGTAACTTTTCACGCAATTTAAAAAAGAACATCGTATTAAAGAAAACCGTAGATTCATGTAGAGAAACAGAAGAACAGGAGATATTTCATAAAAACAGGAGATCTCCTGTAAAATCGACAGACCTGGCAACCCTGTGAACGATAATTTCGCGAATGGGCGTTGTCAGCGCTACGTTCAAATTTACGCTCTAGGTGCAACAAATGTCAAAGTTGACATCAGCTTCATACAAAGTCGTATAATGAAACGTCATCACGGTAAAAAGTTGTACTCAGAGCGTAGGTTTTGAACGTAGCCTAGCTACCTTTTTCAACCGCTTTCAAATCATCAAATGCTGGGGCCACCCACCTACTCTAAGACGAAGAATATCTATATATGAATATCATGAGCTAATTCCTCCCGCCCCTTTCTACTACCGGACGAGCAGGGAAACGGCAAGGCGACATCGATTCACGGTGGCAGTTCCAAAGATTCGCACTAAGCGATTCGCTTCTAGCTTCATCGTGCGGACTGCCAAACTGTGGAATTCCTTGCCTGAGCCCTTGTTCCCCGAGCACTACAATTTAGCGGTCTTCAAAGCAAGAGTGAACCGGTTTTTATTAGGTAAGCGCGCTCCATCGTAGACCATAATATTGCTTTCCATCAGGCGAATTATGGTCAAGCGCTTACCTGTTACCGAATAAAAAAAAAATCTCCACACTTAGCCACTGACACCACTTTTTATGGAGTCCATTAGCATTATTAAACAACGTAAGATCGTTTTGTAAAAGTTGTCAAATAGGGGAACCTATACTAATGGTCGATAATGGATGGGTGACCAAAAACTTATAATCTCGACCTCCTCCATGCTTCTGTAGTCGTTAGCACCCACCAATCCACACTGGGCTCACGTGGTGGGTCACGGCCCAATCTTCTTATTCCATTCCATTATATTCCATCCATAGGAGGTCATTAGTAGGCTGGTGATAATGAAAACTTGTGACACAGCTAAAACCTTTCCGGGGCATGCTTTTCACGATGTTTTTAATAACGTTTTGAGGAATACGTTCCCACTGTTCTGCAATGACTATTTTTATCTCCCTGATGTTTTGTGGAGCAGGTTACATTGACCTTACCGTCTCTTAGGACATCCCATTGAGGTCAGGACCAGTGACGTAGCGTAGTGGGGGCGACAGGGGCGGCCCGCCCCGGGCGGCACTTCTTAGGGGGCGGCAAAATTTTACAATAAATAATAAAAATATTACAACCATTTAACTAAGAGGGCGGTAAAATTGTCCTTCGCCCCGGGCGGCCGACACCCACGTTAGCCGCTGGTCAGGACTTTGCACTGGCCAATCAAAACGACGGATACCAACTTCTTGCATGTACGCTTTCACATCGCCGGAACGGTACGAACGAGCATTGTCGTCCATAAAAGTGGAACTTTCCTCAAATGCAGTCTATGCGGGCTGTGCAAACGGAACCAGGACTTCCTTTATGTACCGGTGTGCATTTAAGGTTCCATTTTCTATGAAAAGTATCTCCATACGCTCCGTCGAATTAATTGCTGCCCAAAACATAACGGAACCTGTGCCATAAGGAGTGTATTTTTTCGAAACACGCTTCCGCCCGCGCTGGCGTCGCTCCTCCCCACAAAAAGAGATTCGAGCTTCATCAGAAAACAATACTTTATGCCAGTCCTCCAGAGACCATTAAGCACAGTCTCGAGCAAACTGAAGTCAGGCAATACGGTGCTCGCGGCGTAATTTAGGGTCCCGAGCTGGGCGGTAACTACTGATATAGGTAGCCAAAAGCCTCCTCCTGACGGTCCACAAGCTAACTTCTTCTCCTCTAACTTCCTAAATGCTCTTCTCTATACTTGACGCCTCACAATTTAGCAACGCCTGACTTACCAAAACGCGTTCATCCCTTGATTTTGTGCATCGTTTTCTTCCCGAAACGGGTCTTCTTTTGACCGAACCAGTGTCTTGATACCGTTGCCAAGTCCTCTGGACATTTGAATGACTCACATTTAGGCGCTGAAACACGAAGTTTGAGAACAACCTTCTTTGAGTAGGGCTATAATTTTACCGGCCCTTATCGCTTTACCACTCATATCAGAAAGTATTCATAATTATTTAATGTAAAAATAAATATTTATTGATTAAATATAGATACATTTAAATAAGAAAACTTACAAACTACTTAATGTTTACAATACTTAACTACTAAAATAATATAAAATTTACAAAATGAAAAGAAAGAAAAGTTCTCTAAACCTAAACTTAACTTTGACAACAGTGCATCCTTTTCATTCTCTATACAAAATGAAAAGGAGACACTAATGTTTTTAGTTTTAAGTTTAGAGAATCATGCCAGAATTGACACCAATATAACGTCAAATGAATTTAACCTCTTCCTTCTAATATTCAATAAAGTAGAGCAGCAATTATTACCCGTTATCAATATATTATAGTAGATTTTGGTCAAGCAAGATAGTCGTAATTTTATCATCTGTGCCATTTGAACTGCTTATAGTGTAATCTTTACCCAGTCACATAAAAGTACTTTTAAAATAAAAACTTCTATTGATACACGAACTAAACTTACTCAACACAAAGAAGGATAATTGTACGTTTAAATCAAGGTATCATTTTATACATTTGAACAAGTAGTTCCGTTTCTATGATTTTTTAAAACTATATCTCAGAACTCTGTTTTTGAAGATAATAATTGATCCCTTTTGTTTGTGACGTGCAAAATGTCCGCACACCGTTTGCAGTCATTTTTTTCATAATGAGCGGAAAAAGTCTGTCATCTGCCCAGGCCATTATAATAATCCTTGAAGAGCTTGTAATTCTGGTACAAAACGATCGGTCCAGAAAATATACCAAAAATATTTACAATTACATTTTTTTTTGTTCCTCATTGTTGAGTTCTAATATCGGATTTCAAAACCACCCGATAAAAGATGCCCTATTCCAGCGTTTCTTAACCCCGGATCGCGAGAATTTTCTAAATTACGGTCGCGTTGTGAGCGCCTTAATCACTGTTACCTCGAGTCCTATGACTCAGAACAGGAACGGAACAAGGTGATGAAATATTAAAAGGTAGGTTTGCCAGAATAGTCCAGGCAACGAAAAGGTATAGAGGGAAATGCTTAGAATACAATTTTTGACTTCGTAACTTTGTTAGGACTAGTTAGGAGGTAAACATATCAAAAGTCCCCGCCCGTAGCCCTTAAGCCGGGGGGGAAGGGGGGGGGGGGATTGAAGGTCCCATTTTTAGGTTTTTCGCATATATCTCGGAAACTATGCATCCTAGCGACATGAGACTTTGTCAAAAGTGAAAGC